CTGGTCTGGCGCCTAAGTTTCAGGAAAGGTCGACTTTATGAGGGCCTAAAATTGGCCCTCCTTTTTAGGCTTTTAGGCTGAAACGACAAGGGACTGGAGGGCCCTTATTCCGCCTGGTCGGGCCCGGCAGGCCCGTGTGGTGCGCAGTATGCCACACGTCTGCTCCTACCAGGCTACCAGCATCTCAAGCTGTTCCCCGGGGCTGTTTGCTTTGAAAAAAAAAAAAAGCAAGATGTTGCCTCAATTTCCGTGCACTATTACGAGTGCACTCGCTTTTTTTTTCTTTTCTTCTTTTTGGCCTGGGGTCTGCTAGGGGTGCTGGTATGAGCAAGACACCTCTAGCAGCCCTGTGCCTGGCTCCTGTCTATTGGTGGGAGCATCGCCTGCTGGAAAACAGGTCCAGCGTTCCTTACAGAAATATGCAGAAGTACATGAGATACATGAGATGCATGAGGTACCTGAATTGCGTACATTGTCTGGTGGGTCATCTGCCTCTTCAGCCCCTACTTGGCCGCCTGCTTTATCCTTCTTGTGCAAGCAGATCCCCCAGATTGGCATCACGCCACCATCACACATTGCATCCTGTCACTCTCCTCCATACCACTGTGTATCCGCCGCGGCGAGAGCTGGTGGCGGAAAGAGTTAAGGGAACTCACTGTACATTTTGCTCATCGTTTCTTCGTCCTCTTCCATACAATTAACGTGGAGGTTTTGTATACATGTGTGCTCCGGGGAAACCGGGATTTGAACCCGCAACTGACTTACTGCATCTTTGTATGTACGTGTACCGTGCGTATTTCATATAGTATTTGTGTACATGCATGTTGCAGTAACCTGCATGTATACTTGTTTACTTTCCAAACGATGTGATCCAGCTCACCGGGGGGTCTGTGGGAGACTGCAAACAAAAGCTATGTTTTTTTTTTTTTTTTTTTTAATGACACACAATTGTTCCCAACCCCCTTCATTTCTCTGGTGCATACTCGTTGCTGTCATCATTGTGCAGGAGGAGATGATTCCTTTCCTGATGGCGTAACACTGGTACGCAGATGCAATCGCATGCTAAGCTTCACTGGACTGGCTGCAAAGGTATGTTCCCCAAGTGAGAAGTGTACATAGGGAAGGCCCTTATCGAGTCAAGTGCCAGTGTCCTGAGGTCCTGCCTTTTTGTTTTCTCTCTCTCTCATGCATCTGATGGCTTTCCTTCTTTTTCTTGTCAGTGGGCAGCATATATATTTGAATATTTGTCAATTTTAATTGCCGCGCTTCTGAAAGTGTGAGGCACAAGGCCTCGATACGCCCCTACAGGGACCCATTTCCAGTACAGTCGGCCGCCCTAAGTGAAGGCAGGCCCGACCGAGGCCTACAGGCCTATTTTTGGGGTCAACCTGCAACTGGGGAATTTCAGGCAGTTGAGCAGCACCAGTTGGTTGAAGGCGCCCAGGCCCTGGCTTCCTTTTATCAAATGTATCTAAGTCAGCCCCTGGGCGAGATACGCAGGACGGACCCAGCACAGGCTGTGAGCAGTTGGGCACGGGTAACTGTCGGAGGCCCTGGGCCTGTTTTGTTTGGACAGAGGCTCAGCCTCCCTGGGCCTACCGGAAGCTTCTGTGCGGAGGCCCAGTACCGCAACACAGCAAGCAGGCCACTTCAATAAAGGGAAGGGCCTGCTCACGCATTGGACATTCGGGCACTGGCTGCTTTGTGCGCAAGCGCTGCTGCACTATCGCCTGCCAGGCTCACGCGCTCACGGGCGAGCTGGAAGGAGCAGGCAGCCATAGCCGAGCTGCGCTGCTGTATGCTGGATGGGGCGCATGGTGGTCCTTGGGTGCAAGTGGCATCTGTGAGTTGGGGAACGAGGTTGCGAGTGATACGAGATACATACCTGGTGCTTGACACGTGCGGCATTGGCCGAGGTCTGCTCGTACTTGGGAAGCTGTTGACGTCATCAGCGGCATTGTAGTCTAGGCTAGATAGGATCTGCCATTCGTAGTCTGGGCACCGAGCCAGATAGGATATCAACATTGGTTCTTCGTTGATGATGATCAGACTATTCCAGCATTGTCTTTTTTTTTTTCTTTTTTTTTTTCCCTTTTTTTAATAAACGCAGGGCCTTATGGTCCTGGCTCCTTCTATTCTGGGG